CATGAACAGGGTACAGGAATAATGGATTTGGCTGTTGAGGCTCTGAGTCAGCTACTTTGTCTGACAACAGTGGGCACCTTGCTGTCTGGAGTCAGTGGAAGTCCCAGGAAAAGGAGAAACAGGGCCTGAAACAGTATGGTTTTTGCTTGTTGATATCTTTGTGGGTTTTTTTTCACAAAATTCCATTTTTCTGCGAATCCTTTCTCCACCATGCTGACCTTGAGGATGAAGTTCTGTGATATGGGCTGCATCCAACAGCAATTCCCTGTCACTGAAGGGATGGCTCACTCCTCCAGGGACCCAAACACTTCACTTCAGCTCCTGCTGCTGCTCTTGCACTAGCTCTGTTCCTCTGCTTGATCTCTTGGGGAGGGCTGGACCTCCAGAATCTGGACTCACTAAACTGGTGGAGAACTAGCGTAGCCAACAAAAAAGCAAGGAAGAGTTTTGTGTGGACAGATCCACACAATAAAACACACTGTCACTGTTTAGAGCAGGGAGGCAATAAACAGTGGCAGATGCTCGCTGTTAAAACCTTTCCTCCCACCAGGAAAAGTGAAATACGAGGAAAAGGGAGAGAGACTTAGAAATTGAAAATTAAAACAGCTTTACTAATAACACTAGTAATATTAGTAATAAGAGAAATAATACAAAATATACAAAACCGATACTGAGTTTGCCGGAGTTGGGTGCCATGGACGCTGGAAGTCCCGAACTGATCTCAGGTAGACGGGAACTGGATTCAGGAATGCACAGATTGGAATCTGGATCAGGATCACAGGCAGGACAAGGAGCAGGGTCCTCTTTGGAAGCTGGCCATGGATGAAGAAAGTGAGACCTCATGATCTCCCAGCTTTAAACTGACATGTATGGCACGGAATACCTCGTTGGTCAATATTGGGTCAGCTGTTCTGTCCACTCCTCCCTGCAAGTTCCACCCTCTGTAACTCCTCACTTGCGAAATTTAAAAGGTGTATCAGTGACCTTAGCTGCTATAGTAATAATCATGAACATGGGCCTTCTGCATTCCATTCCTACTGTTAGCTCAGTACAACTATAAACATGAGGTGTTACCAGCTTTGGAGTGGACACTGTAACATGTGCAGCTAACTTCAGAAAAATGCAGTTACTTGGAAGAACTTAGCTGTAAGGAAGATTCACTGAAAAAGAATCGGTTCTGGTTTAACCAAAACCAGGAGACATGGGAAGGCAGAAGGGGGAAGAAGTGAAGCGTCTGCTTTGCATGGCATTGAGTGCTCTTTAAGAAATGCAGTGTGTCACCATGCTCCCTTTTCTTATACTTCCCATGTAATTTCATGTTCAAGTAACTCCCAACTGCAGATGCTGATTTGAGTGAGGACATTGAATCAGACCCTCTGCAAGTTTTGTAATGCCCCCCCGGTTTGGTCACCCAGCAGCCCAAATAATACGAGGATGTTGGAGAGGATTGAAAGCATCCACTCCAAAAGAAAAAGCATTTATCTTGGTTTTCTTGCGGAATAGCTCTTTTTGATAGTTCCTTGGCAGAGGTTTTACTGTTCTCGTTCTGTTGTGGGTTTGCATGGCAACGTTTTGGTAGCGGGGGCGGCTATAGGGGTGGCCTCTGTGAGAAGCTGCAAGAAGCTTCCCATGTCTGATAAAGCCAGTGCCAGCCACCTCTAAGATGGGCCCAACACTGGCCAAGGCCAAGCCCATCAGTAACGGTGGTAGCGACTCTGTGATAACATGTTTAAGAAGGGGAAAAAAACCTGCGGTGAAATGGCAGTCAGGAGAGAGGAGCGAGACCATGTGAGAGAAACAACTCTGCAGACACCAGGATCAGTGAAGAAGGAGGGGGGAGGAGGTGCTCGAGACGCCAGAGCAGGGAGTCTTCCCTTGCAGCTCGTGATGAAGACCACAGTGAGGCAGGTTGTTCCCCTGTAGTCCATGGAGGTCCACGGTGGAGCAGATATCCACCTATAGCCCATGGAAGGGACATCACGCTGGAGCAGGTGAATGCCTGAAGGAGGCTGTGACCCCGTGGGGAGCCCATGCTGGAGCAGGCTCCTTCCAGGACCTGTGGACCAGTGGAGAAAGAAGTCCACACCAGAGCAGGTTTGCTGGCAGGGCTTGTGACCCCATGTGGACCCATGCTGGAGCAGCCTGTTCCTGAAGGACTGCACCCCGTGAAAGGGACCCACGCTGAGGCTGTTTGTGGGAAGGACTCATGTTGAAGAAGTTTGTGGAGAACTGTCTCCCGTGAGAGGGACCTCACACTGGAGCCGGGGAAAAGTGTGAGGAGTCTTCCCCCTGAGGAGGAAGGAACAGCAGAGACGTGTGGTGAACTGACCGTAACCCCCATTCCTCATCACCCTGCACCGCTCGGGGGGAGGAGGTAGAGAAACGGGAGTGAATCTGAGTCCGGGAAGAAGGAAGGGGTGGGTAGAAGGTGTTTTAAGATTTAGGTTTATTTCTCATTATCCTACTCTGATTTTTGGTGATGAATTAACCTCGCTTTTCTCCCCAAGTTCAGTCTGTTTTGTCCGCGACAGTGATTGGTGAGGGATCTCTACCTGTCCTTATCTCGACTCTCGAGCCTTTCATCATATTTCCTCTCCCCTGTCCAGCTGAGGAGGGGGAGTGATGGAGCAGTTTTGGTGGGCACCTGGCATTTATCCAGGCCAAGCCAAAACACATTCCCATTGTAATATTCTTGTAGTAGAATATTCTCCTTTTAGGGTTGTCCCCTGATATTTACGTCCAGGCGGGTCTTGAATATCTCCAGAGAAGGAGACTCCACAACCTCCCTGGGCAGCCTGTTCCAGTGCTCCGTCACCCTCAGAGGGAAGAAGTTCTTCCTCATGTTCAGACGGAACTTCCTGTGCCTCAGTTTGTGCCCATTGCCCCTTGTCCTGTCACTGGGCACCACTGAAAAGAGCTTGGCCTCATCCTCCTGACACCCACCCTTCAGATATTTGTAGGCATTTATAAGGTCCCCTTGCAGCCTTCTCTTCTTCAGGCTGAACAAGCCCAGTTCCCTCAACCTCTCCTCGTAGTGGAGATGTTCCAGTCCCCTCACCATCCTTGTAGCCCTCCGCTGGACTCTCTCCAGTAGCTCTTCATCCTTCTTGAACTGGGGAGCCCAGAACTGGACACAGTACTCCAGATGAGGCCTCACCAGGGTAGTGTAGAGGGGAAGGAGAACCTCCCTTGTCCTGCTGGCCACACTCTTCTTGATGCACCCCAGGATCCCATTGGCCTTCTTGGCAGCCAGGGCACACTGCTGGCTCATAGTTAACCTGTCGTCCACCAGGACACCCAGGTCCCTCTCTGCAGAGCTGCTCTCCAGCAGGTCCACCCCAAGCCTGTACTGGTGCAAAGCCAAGAAAAACTTAACAGTGTGCTACAAACACACATGCACACACATGCACACACACACTCTCCTCATACTCTCTCTCCCTGGAAAGCAGGTGGACTAAAGTGCCCATGGAATGTGAGCTGGACCCATAGCTGGTACCAGTCAGTGTGGCTTCACTCATGTAGGAACTGGTCCTGTAGGAACTGATAACCACCCCAGGAGCCTGGACATCCATTCATTGTAATGTCACCTGGGCACTCGTCGTCCTTGGTTAATGTTTCAAATGTAAGATTTGACATCAGAACTTTAATCCCATACTTTGGGAAATCAAACAGAAAGGTCATTAGTGCCTAAATAATGAAGTCGTGTAAGATTCTAAGGTTTTTGAGACATCTGTGTGTAAGTCTGTATTATTATTCAAGCAGATGCTTCTTTGAGAAGATGTAGCTTCTATTAATTCACTGTTTACTTTGTGTTTCTGTCGTTTTCAGGCTACAGAAGATGATGGTATATGAGCTTTATTGTTGACAGATTTATGCTGTGTGATTTACTCTCATGACAATACTGCAAATCTCAATACAGATTTTTACAGTTATTTAGGAAAAATCAGTTGGAGTCAGGCACTCTAATGCCTTTTAAAATGTGACCACGACGTGCCAAGGAAAATATAACCCTGCACATATAAGGACAGATCCTCACATGCCTCAGTTTTCATTAACTCATCTTTTCTCTGAAGTCTTTTTGGGAAGGTGCCTTATACAAGCTTAGTGATAACTCTGTTATGTTCTCATTGTGGTGTAAGTCAGAGTCAAAATAACACCACAAAAATCAATGGGATCAAGATCATTTATGCCAGCTAATGATGTGATCTCTGCTGTGCTGATCAGTAATAACACAGTTACAGAAACATCAAGGACTCAACGTGGAAACATTTTGCATGAAATTACAGCGCTTATGTTAATAAATCAAGAAGGGGAATTACTGAAGAGATCTGCAGCCTAGTAGTGAATACACATGGGGATCAAGAATCCTCAGTCAAATAAATGAAATGATATAAATTAATGAGTTCTGCTAATTGGGTTTATTATTTAATAAAAACAAATGCACAATTCCAAAAGGAATTGCTCAAAATTCATTTTCTTCTGGTTTCCTGTGGAAACGACGCAGAGGGAGATCTCATCACCATCATGTGTATTTGTCTGTATCTGTCCCTTTACCTTCCCAACCCACTGGCCAATTCCACTCAGTTCTGACACAGGAACAAGAGGCTCAGAAAAAATGATTTTTTATCATTCTTGTGGGCAGCATTTTTATCATTCAAAATGGGCAGCTGTGGAGAGGACAAAAACTGTGTAAGTGTGCAGCTGAGGGAGAGAGGGGAACAAGAGTCTAGACTTTATATCAGAATTTACATGAGACTGAGGCCTCAGGGAAAGCTTGAATTCATGCTCGTACCTTCGAAAAATCAAATGTGAGACTTAGAGTCTTTGAAACCTAGTCTTACTAGTTTGGGGTCAATCAGGGATGGAGCCAAAATACTTGTTTGGTGTTAGCCAAAAATAGGGGTTTTTTTTTGGTTTTGTGGTTTTATTTTCCTATGCTCAGGCCAAAAGGAGAAAAAAGAAGAAAATTTCGTTTGGTTTAAACAAAATTTTGAAAACAAAATGTTTCATCTTCTTCTGAGTTGTTTTGATTTTTAATCCTATTTTAAAGATGAAGACAAACTAAATTTCAAATCTTAATGAAATAATACAGAAATAAAAGCTTTAACACATCCAAAAGATATCTTCCGTTTATTTCAGCTCAATAAACAGAAGTGATCACGACTTGTGGATGTACTATCATTTCGTAACTGTATTTCTTGCCCAATAAATTCTTAGTCCACAGAATTTTACTGGGTTTGATAGTGCATCTGCTGCTCTTATTGACTGCCTAAAGACCATCAATACCTGATGCATAGGAAGTCTGAGATAAAATTAACAGGGTCAAAAGTTTCAAATACTTTAGCAGAGTTAATTAAAAGGCTGGAGAATGGTGAAACCAAAATGACATCAATGATACCAGCTCACATAGGTAATTAATGTCATGCTGCAGGGAATATGCTGAATGCCTGCTTGGTCAGAAAGAAATTTTCCCAGACTTCTGGGTGTAGCACTGTGGAAATTACCATCAACAGTTACTTGTGATTTATTGATGTGATGTTACCAGCTGCCTCTCTGTAGCTAACTGTGTGTTCCACAGCTGTACTCTTGCTGCACAGCCGTTGGGAGAGGTGCCTTTACTGATACATTGAGCCTGACCAAAAATTCCTGTTGAACTTAGGGCAAAATTTGGAGGTGATGTGTGTGGTGATGCGATTTACAGACTGAAGCATATCTTCAAAGTAAATATCTTTCTCCCAAATGTCAGTGATGCTCCTTCCCTTCAGTGGAAGTGAAGCAAGACTGTGACATTAACTTCTATCTTATATTTTCTTTGAATTGCTCAGCAGGTGGCTTATACTGCCTGAGGTATGCTTAGAGTCTTACATCATCTTTGGATACAACCCTAAGCTATGGTTGTACCTTTCTGAAAGATCATCTGTGTCAAATGACCTGCCTCCTCTTGCCTTCTTTCCACATGGCTGCTTCTTAAACTGTTTGCAGACTGCTGGTGTGAACGTGCCTTTTGGCATGTTAACTTTCCAGACATGCTCAGGTACAGGAGATCCTGTGTGTTGTGGTCAAAGCCCAGCCTCAGCAGAAAGTCACAGACACAACTGTGACTTCCTGACAGCACCTAAGATATTGTGATTCCAAGTCACAGGTATAAATCTGCATCCCCTGAATGAATTCTACCATTGATTTTTAAGGGAATAACAAGATATAGAATCTTTTAAATGTTCTCACCGTGATTTTAAAATATTCTTTTCTGTTTGTTTCCTTTCCAGCCCTGGTGTCGATGTATTACCACTGTCTACAATTATTTTGTGGTGACCAACTTCTTCTGGATGTTTGTGGAAGGCTGCTACTTACACACTGCTATAGTGATGACTTATTCCACAGATAAGCTGCGGAAATGGGTCTTTCTCTTCATAGGATGGTGTAAGTTGCTTGCGTGTTTACAATAGTATTTCTTTGTACCTGGTATGAAGGTCATAAAGACAAGAGCTGCAAGAGTAAGCTTTAAAACTCCCACTGCAGTGAAATCTGACATTCAAACCTAACTTTGTCAGAACAACATGAGATCAGGCTTAGTTCCTCACTGTGGTGATGACATAAAGCTAATAGATTATTGCTGCATTTCTCTTCTTCATTTAGATCCTCAGGCACCTGAGGTTAAGGAAAGAGAACTCCCAGGCTCAGCATTTTGGGAATGCATCAGTTCACACCATGTCCCTTTCACTTTGATCAGCAAAGTGGTGATCACAACCCCTTATACATTGCTGCTAAATGTGGCCTGAAACAGAAAAGGTGCTGTCCATGCCCTGTGGACCACTCAGTCTGAAGAGGCAGATGAGACACTTCTAAATGAGGAGCTGACTAGAAGAGAAGCCTTATTATCTGCCAGTCCAACCTTACAGCTGTCTTTTGGACCACTGAGGTGTTTGTTCCTAGAAAAAAGCCCTTAACAAAGAGTCACGTCACCTTTGTGCTATCCTTGTTGCTGCTCAAAGACAGAAGAATAGCTCATTGCATGCCGTTACCTCTCTTCTACTGTGTCGGCCTGGGCCAGAGCAAAGGCTGCTCCTTTTCCCTCGCTGCATCAGTGTAGGCTGGTCTGTCAGCACAGGCTGGGAACTGGCTGTCAGAGTAGCAGTCCTGCTTAAAAAGCCTTTAGGGCTTGCAGCGGATGCGGGCTGAGTATGAGCCATCACTGCCCTCTCATCATGAATAAAGTAAAACACATACTGTGTGGCCAGAAGATTGAGGGAAGTTACCAACACAATCATAGAACCATAGGACAGTTTGGGTTGGAAGGGACCTTATAGATCCTCTAGTTCCAACACCCCTGCCATGGGCAGGGACACCTTCCACCAGACCTGGGTGCTCGAAGCCCCATCCAACCCAGCCTTGAACACTTCCAAGGAGGGCACATCCACAGCTTCTCTGGGCAACCTGTTCCAGCATCTCACCAACTTCAAAGTAAAGAATTTCTTCATTACAGTTAATATAAAGCTCCCCTCTTTCAGATTAAAGCCATTACTCCTTGTCCTATCACTCCATGGCCTTGTAAATGTCCCTCTGCAGCTCTCTTGCAGGCCCCTTCAGGTACTGGCAGGCTGCTCTAAGGTCTCCCCAGAGCTTTCTTTTCTGAAAGGCTGAACAGCTCCAACTCTCTCAGCCTTTCCTCACAGCAGAGTTGTTCCATCTCTCTGATCATTTTTGTGGCCCTCCTCTGGCCCTGCTCCAACAGATCCATGTCTGTCCTGTGCTGAGGGCTCCAGAGCTGGATGCAGGGCTCCAGGTGGGGAATAATATTTTCTCCTCGGCAGCACTTTCCACTCAGCTTTAGTAAGGCTGCCTTTGGAATACTGAGATCAGTTTTGGGTCTGTTAGGTTAAAAAGGATGTGGAAAAACTGGAGATTATCCAGCAGAAGGCTGTCAGTATGATCAGGGATCTAGAGGACATGACCTGTGCAGTGAGACTGAGGGAGCAGAGCTTGTTTAATCTGGCAACGAGGAAGCTGAGAAGCAATCTGTTAGGTACCAGGAATATTTTGAAGGAGAATTACAAAGAGGGTATAGCCAAATTCTTCTTGATAATAGCAGATGTTATAAGAAGGGATAACATCCACAAATTGCAGACTGGGAGGTTCCAGCTGGACATCAAGAAAACAGAAAATTTATGAAAAAGGTAGTGCAACACCGGAACAGATGACTTAGAAGCCGTGGAATCTCTGACTCTAGAGGTGTTGAAAATTCAGCAAGGCTAAGCCTTGACTGAGGTGAGCTAGTGTTGATAGCTTTGAGCAGGAGATTGGACTGGATACTTTCAGAGGTCCTTTCCAACCAATAGGTCCATGATTTGGATTTGGTCAGGAGAAGTTTGGCAAGAAAAGCCCCATGCAGGCAGCTTGTTCACTTGAATGCAAAATCTGAGGTCAAACATTCTTTTCTGTTGAAAGAAGAAAGGTGGAATAAAGTAGCAAATATTTTCTTTTCTGAAAATAGAATGACATTTTGTTCTCTTCCTCTCAGAACTGAGAAGAAGTAATTGAATTGCAGCTCTGAAGGTAGAGAAAGCTCTTAAAACAAAATATGTTATTCAATTTAAAATCAAATGGGAGGAAAGAGGAATTGTGGTAGATAATAGAAAATGCTTAAGTGGGGATTTAATTCTTTTTTTTTTTTGTCATTATTTTTCAATTTTGTCACCAACTGGAAAATCAGCTGCTCGCACAGCTCTCACAGACCTCCTGACTGGTTTGGTCTCTACCTCTCTCAGAGCCTTCTGGGTATCTGATTAGGAGACAGTGTGATGAAGATATGAGCTGAATATACCTTTCCACTTACCCTTTTGGATGCTTTCTGGCTCTGCTTTGCCTTCCCATACATGATCTTTTACCATCCTCATTCTCAATCCCTCTTCTTCTCTTCAAAAGGAAAAGTAAAGTGTTTTCCTCTACGAGAAAGGACATGGCTACATTTTATCTGTTCATGCCTAGCAAGAACATAAGGGAAACAAATGCACCGGACCTTGTGAGTCAGTGATGAATGAGATGGAAGACAACACAATCACTCGCAGGGCACAAGAGCCACTAGGGATGGTGGGGCAGGAGATCAGAGCTGTGCTATACTTCTTGCTGAGGTTAAAGGTGACCACTTAGCAATTCAGTCCCATCCCTGCTGTGTTGTGGTTCTCTCTCCACTGTGCTTCATCTCTTTAAAGGCTCCATTTCCCACAGAAGAGGCAACAAATGGGAGGTTAAAAGATAGTGTTAGATACAAGACCGTGCTGATTCCTACAAGAGCGTTTAAATCGTGTTGCTTCTAGTGGAAAAGAGGTAGATACCAGTGAGGGTCAATGAATCTGGGCTTCTGCCCATGCATCTGCCTTAGAGTAGCAGTGGTTACAGAGAAATATGAACCTGGAGGTTGGAATGAGAGATGGAGCTGTTTGGTTTTGCTTGAGATGACAGGTGAAAGGTTAGAGGGGAAATGGGAGAGGAGAAACTCTCCTCCTTCATTTTTGACATCAATCCCATCTTTGCCTGGGGAATGCCTGGGTGAAAAATTTACTGTTTCCCCAGGACGTCTGTGTCAAAAGGCCAGCTCCACTTACTCTTGCTCATTTCCAGTTTCCTGCTGCAGCAAATCCCCTTCAAACCACCTGGATCCTGAAGGCCCAGCACAACACAAGCGCAAGGGGAAAGCTCTGGATATGAGATAGGTATAACAGGAGAACTGGAAAGTAGAGGATGTGGCACTGCAGAGGCATGAAGTGCACAAATATACCTCATCTACTGCACTGAGGTTGCACGCCCGAGGAGCACCACTGTAGCACCTTCTGAGTAGAACTGAGAAATCAAGTCCCATAAAGCAAATACATGGCCTTGGTAGGAGCCCACACACATACACAGAGTGCATTGCATGTCATAGGGAGCAGAAAGGTATATATAAAGTTAAGAGTAGCTGGATTCTTTAGGAACAGCAGAAAATGAATGAATTCTGATATTGCAAGATATGAAGAGATTCTTTCTCATAATCCTGTTTCATAGGGAAGACTCAACTCAAAAAATTGTTGAAAATTTTGAAAATGGGCTTCATCCAAAGATCCCAATAAATTTACAAGCTTCTTGCAGCCTGGGAAATAAATATCTAAACACTCACCTCCAAGTACTGTCTTTAAAATTTTGCCATATCAGCTGCAGGAAAATGAAAAGAGACCAAAAGTCAGCCACAGTTCTTCTGATCACATATATAGAAATATAGGTATACATGTATGTTTGTTAATAATCTTATTAACTTTTCTTACTGGTACTAGAGTTTTCTCTTTTAGCGGTGATCTTTTTTATTTATACATAAAGAGGTCTTAGCAATTGTGATGTCTCAAAGACACCAAAGTAAGGCTACTTTTATTTAGAAGCTTCCAGTTGATTAACCAAGACTCTCCTCAAATAAATCTGAATCTGCATCTATATTATCCATCCATACATGGGTTGTGATTAACACCTGATTTTTTGCTGTTGCAGGTATTCCTTGCCCAATCATCATTGCCTGGGCCATTGGAAAACTATATTACGAAAATGAACAGTAAGTGATGTTAACTTTTGTGTTTATGTGGCTCTCTAAATAAATTAAGAAATGCCTGCAGTCCGAACTGGTAACTTAGAAATGAGCCTGATTGATTGACAGGAAAGAGGAAAGGTCAGATCACCTCCATCCAAATCCAGACCATCTCAAATTTCAGAGCGCTACTTGAGTCAACTCCTGAAAATACCTTTCCCAAATATGCTTGGCCAAATTCTGAAGTTCTCATTCGATAACTTTATACATGATTTACAGTCCAGGTAATCTCCTTCAATGGGAGTTTTGCTTGAGTAAGAACTTGGTGAAAATTACAGTTGAGTATTAAAGGATTTAGCCTTCTGGGTGTGCACAATTCAGTTGTCAGTCTGCCAAGAGTAGTCTCCTGGCCGGAATTTTTGCGTTTCTGTTTCTGGCTTTCCCAATTGGCAGCACTTAGTGCATGAAATTGAAAAATATGGGAAATAAAGAGGCATCTATGTTTTGGGAATTTTTCCCCCAAGCATGGATACTAATCAGATATATATCAGTTTGTACTTTCCAACTAGTGCTTGGATCAATGTCTATTGTCTGTTACAGCTCCCTTCCCTAACCTTAAAAAAATTCTTCTCTCCATGAATCTGTTTTTCATATGACCACGCTGTCTGCCTGTAATGCATCTGATTAGATGTAAGTGTCTGCCTTATAGGTGTCTGCATCTGCTCTAATCTGTGGCCTCTTATGATCAGTGGTGATCTGTCAAAACAGTAAATGCACTCTGGGATGGAGGTCATCTCATCCAGAAGGAAAAGTCCAAAGTGGGGTGGATGAATTAGACTTACGTGCACTATTTCTCCTGACTGTAAGGGAGGTGGATAGGGTGACTGGCTGAGCTTTGGGGCCCCGCGCTGTAGGCATGGGAGGAATTCTCTTATGAACTACTAAGTTCCTCTTTTCTGCTCCTCACAAACTTTTGAACCCTTGACCAATCTCTCTTCCATAGCTTTAATGGTGACTTTGAAGGTGATAATCTAATTCTCAGGCATTACACATATTGGCAATCAGACAGACACCCTTTCACTGAGGGAAAAGTTTCGTGTGATTCCATCCCTGCCTACAGTAATCATACTGGAGAACTCATACTGTAGTCTCAAAATGTCGAGAAAAACTTCAGTTGGAACCTGTTCCTTGGGTGTCCAAGTCAACCAGCCCTGGGAGATAACCTCAGATCACCGGATTTCCCTAATTTCTGCCCTCACAGACCTTCTTGTGTCTGGATGGGTAAAGGATTACAACATTCTGGGTCTGCTTCATGGTCAGGTTTCCTGTAGTTTTTGCCTTGCACAAGCCAGGGCAGCATGACAGCTGTCTCGTTGTGCTGAAGTAGGACTTTCAGCTCTAGAACTAGAGCTGAAGGAACTAGTCAGCTTAAACAGCACTAAACAAAATACCCAAAACTTGTGTCTTGAAACCGAGAGAGGCAAAACACCACATGCTTTAATAATGGTGCTGCACATTAAACATTCCTGTTGTGAGTGAGTTCAACACCAACATTTGAACACCTCCTTTTGGAAGACTGCTCATCAATCCCAAAAGAAGTAATGGAAAGTAGGACCCCTGACAGAAACATGCCACAACATCTGTAACCATACTGCAGACAAGGTGGCTAGATGGAGACCACTGCATCATCTGTACCAGTGCCTGCTTTCACCCTCACTGTATATCTGCAAAGTGAAGGTGAAAGAATCTCCCCTTGATGTACCATCGATGTGAAGAAAGACATGATATGTTTATATAGGTATGTGTGCTAGCTGTTACCAGCGAAGGTGTAACTGGCCCAGATCCTGCACAACAGAAGAAAGTGGGGTACAAAATACAGTCAGCAGGGCCAGAAAGACAAAGTGATCCTGTTTGGTGTGCAGAATATCCAGGCTGTTCCTGTTCAGTCTCTAGGCTCAAGCTCTCTGCGTTGGGTGTATTATCAAATGGAGCTTGTGCTTTTAAACCCATGCCATGGACAAACCTGTACAGTCTAACTCATATACATCATTTGCCTCACATGCTTACTGATAAGGGAGGTGCCAGTTAACTCTCAGCAGACCCAGACAATTAAACTTAATGTCTTGGGATGTTTTCACATTTCTGTCTTTAATGCTGGTGTTTGCCTTGGAGTGAAACATTCACACATATCCTCACTGCACATCATAGCTAGTCCAAACGCATAGAGAAAGTCTTTTAGGCTTCTGCTCACCGTAGTGTGAGGTGTAATGGCCTGGAGCCTCAGTGCTGTGCTCTCGTATTGTCAGCGGTGGGGCCGAGATTCATGTGCTTTAGTCTGCTTGAGAAATCAACGCTGGATGCTTCAGTAGTGATGTTCTTTTGATGTAGCACACACACCCAGGCAGACAGGCAGAGCTCTTGTAAATGAAGAGTTGATAAGGACATTAAGCTGTAAGGCAAAGGCTATTAAATGAATCTGCTTTTCACATTTGTAGTGGTGTCATATGCAGGGGAGACTCAGTGAGGTAAATGAACCGAAGGAAAACAAGAGATGAATAACTTAGTGAGAGCCACTTGATTGCCATAAATATTCAGTCACCTTCTGAAGCATTAAAGCATGTGATACTTCACATAGCACCTGCTCCCTGTCTCATGGCCGAAGGAAAGGAGCAGGTTCTACTAAACAGTCAATCTGAAGCACATGTAGGAATGTACCTACATGTATACGTGTGTGAGGTATGCACGTGTGTGTATTTAACTTAAATTATGGTCTGTTTTCCTCTTCAGTCCATCAGCCAGTGGCACAGTTTGGACTAAACACTGTGGCATTTACAGAATACTTTCTCTGCACTGGGATAATATAGAAATTATGCTTTTAATTTGAATTCTGTATGTGTGTGCAACTACAGACAGATCACAGAAAACTAATCCCTGGCTTTGAGAAATAATTGCTGTCAGGATACTGGAGCATCTCTCATGCAAGGAGAGGCTGAGAGGGTTGGGAGTGTTTAGACTGGAGAGGAGAAGGCTCAGGGGGTTCTTATCAGTGTTTGTAAATATCTTATAGGAGGGTATGAAGAAGATGGAGCCAGACGCTTCTCAGTGGTGCCCAGTGACAGGACAAGGGGCAATGGCACAAACTGAAACATGTGAAATTCCTTGTGAACATCAGGAAACAACTTTTTACTGTGAGGGTGGTAGGACACTTGAAGAGGTTGTCCATGGAAATGGTGGAGTCTTCATCCTTGGAGATACTCAAAAGCCAGCTGGGTACAGCTCTGAGCAATCTGTTTCAGCAGATTCTGCTTTGAGCAGGGGGGGTGGACTAGACAATCTCCAGACTAGACAATCTCCAGAGGTCCCTGCCAACCTCATCTGTTCTGTGAAAATAGAATTGATTGTCCTGGTGGACAGCCCAAAATTCAGGACAAAATGGGAAACTCCTCTTCTTCATCTGAGTATGCTTTCTAACTGTATTTAAGTTGTTTGGAAGTAGAACCGGGGTTCAAGTTATGTAGCTCATAATAGTTTAAAACCTCAAAATAGCACACAGGAAGAATGTTAAGAAAACGCTTCAACCAACTTATTTTTTTTCATTTTTGTACTTACTAGAGACCGTGTTCTGTATAGTGAGGCCAATATATTTGGTACTATGGCAAATACCCTGTCTGGGGTTTAGCAGTTCTTTAGCAAAATCTGACAACTCTGAAAAAAACCTACTGTTAAGTCTCAATAAAAGAACCACACAAATGATTAGGAATTATTGTAGTAATTTCATTGATGGACAGTTGGCAAGGAGAAGAACATTAGTAAGATCTAATTAACAATAATGATAAAACCAGTGGTGGTTTTTGTTATATAAAGAACTATCAGAGAACCATGAAGAATACTAATTAGTGCTATTCAATAGAAGTGTGTTTACATATCTGAGTCTAATCAAAACTGTCTTCCGAAATTGTCCTCTTCAATATTCAGGGAGTGCGTGTTTATTCTTTCAGAGGAAAAAAAAAAGGAAAAAAGAAAATGGCTTTTATTTCACACAGATGGAATTAAAATTCTGATGCACCAAGTAATTATCAGTGGTTTAGGTTTCTCTTTTTGGTTTTAAAGAAATACACAGTGCTGATTTTATTGAAGACATAATGACTTATGTTTGATTTAAAGTAAGAGTTAAGACAACAGGCAAAAAAGTTTGCAAAATCTCAGCTAAGGTCCCGGTTTGAACAGTTAGACTGTAGTTATGAAATATAGCTAATCAAATGCAGATATATGTGATGTCACTGGCATATCTGTCCCCTCACCCTTACTCGCCTGATTTAATGGGTATATTAGAAACATTAAGATTACAACGTAACAGGTCTGTTTTGTAGACTAATGGGATTAACACTGCCCTAGAAAAGCTGCTTTTTTTTTCCTCCACTAACTCCTGGAGATGCCTATGTTGTAGCAGTCTACCTTTGGTCACAACCTTGTTCCCTCAAATTATGTGAAAGTGTGTATATACACATGATGCTTCACTCAGTGCAACCGTGGTCTCATACTGGCCTTTGGATAAGAAATGTCAGCATTTTGCTCTCAGTATGGTCTTACAGTTAAGCACTATTTGAATTCCAAAGAGCGATGAGCAGCCTTTGCCCTGAAACCTCATTTGTGCTCTACCAGCTCTGTTCCAAATTCTCTACTGACTTTTTCTCGCCCACTAAGTTCTGCCACATGCCTCAGTCTGCTTCTTCTTAATTCCTCTGCTACATCCCTCTGCTAGAACAGCCACCTTCCCAGAAACTGCTCTTCTAATAGCTCTTGGTTCTCTGAGTGTCAGGCAATATCTTCCAAAACGCTGTTCAGATGTAGGTCTTGCAAGTTCTGGAGAGTTGCTTTTCCTGCCTTGGCATATCTTGCAATACATTTTTCTTCATATCTTTCCGTTTCTGTAACAGAAAAAAAAAAAGAGTTCTCTTCATTTAAGGCTGCCCTAGGGATTCTTCTTGGATGATAGCTTAGCTGCAAGAAGTACCTTATTCCAAGTCTTGCACTCATCACTGAATTTTGAAGATTAGTTGCAAAATTATCAATTTACACTAATTTGCAGTCAGTGCACCGGGGAATAACAGACTTGTTTTATGTTTATAAAATATTCAAAGCTCTCTCATTTAATTGGAACTTAAAACATGTAGAAATTGAATCAAGAAAAGGCAAACATTTGTGCAATACTGAATTGTGTTCCTAGGTATTTGCTGCATATCTCAGTATTTCTGTACACTGAGTTCAGTAAGAGCATTTTGCAGTGGGCAAAGAGCTCCTGTTTCAGCAGGCAACACATTTTGGAGAAAGCCTTTGGGGGCATTATGTGATTCAAAAGAATTCCATCTGAACCATAGCTTTCCTTACCTCAGCTTATTTACCTTAAACTTGTGAACTCGTGTCTTACAGCCTGCAGCCTCCTTGAGGCAACAAGTATTATTTCTGACATGCTTGTAAAAGTGCAAATCTGCACCTGTCTCCACAGTCTCCTTGGCTCGGGAATCACCCTTGTTTGCATGTCTCCAGTGGCACCAAACTTGCCTTTTGTCGCAAGGCGAACACAGGCAAGGTGTATTTTTTGCTGTTTAGGCTTTTTATGGGGTATCCACAACAGGGAAGAAAACTCTCAGGCCCTTGAATTCCAGAATCTACTTCCTAAGGGATCTGGAGCTCCAATGACCTAAACCTTAAGGCATTATGATAGTAAAGTTGTCTCTGCTTGGTAGAACCAGAATCCAGACCATGTGGCTGTATCTGTAATACTACATTAGCTGGGTCTGGAAGCGTTCCTGGCACTGGAGTCCAAATAGCGTGGAGTAGTTCACATCCATGTCATTAAACCTTCTTGGCCTCCAAATCAGGGTAGCTGCAGTTTGTAGACTATTGGGAATGCCCGCTGGCTCATGCTGGCTCCAGACTTGCTCCCCATGAATAGTTTTGGAGTCAGCTATTGTTTGGCCTGGGCCAAAACTGCACCAAGGAAAATTTAATGCCATAAATGATTGAGTCCAGGCCTAAGCCTGGTTTCTGATCCATTTACTGACATAAATATAGCTGATTTATTACTCTCATTGAAGAAAGCGAAGTGAATGTCAGTATTGGTCACTGTGAAGTCACAGGCTTAGTCTGTTGTCTAACACAGCAGTGAGAAAACAGCTTGTAATCAGTGGAAGTGAAAGTCAAGCCAGCACTCAGTCACTCACGACACATCCAGGCTCTCTGCTAGTTTGAGGCCCTTCAGTTTAACTGTGCTTTCACTTGACCTAAGTTGATTTCCTCTTGGTGACACTGGATCGGGAATTTACTAGCCTCAAATGATGTCTCTCTACAGTATGCTGGATGTGATGGTCACCAGCTTGTTTCAAAGCCGGTGGGATGAACTCCTTCTTCATCCAGTACTTTATTTAGACAGCATTTCGGTGCAACTTGAGATGTATTTGCTGTACGTAACAGCCCTTACTTTATGGAACTGAAGTGTCGCTGGACACTGCAATAGATAACAGAGTTTTCTCCTTACAAAGTATATTTCTTTCATCCCTTTTTCGGACCCAGCACAACACATCTTCTGCATCCTCCTTATAGCAGGTTCTCTTGTTTCTTGGAAATATTTACAGGGGCAATAGCCAAAAACATACTGGGAACATAAATCGTGTAACAGGTGGGCAAAATGGGGCTCATATCTGTGTCCAAACAAAAAGTGGCTTTTTGACAGAAAACTCCATCACTTGCCAATTGTGTACATGATTAAACCACATGGGGAATAAGGGAACATCTCTCTATGGTGGCCTTGATATTTAAATCTAAAAGAAGTGCATTGCCCTTTATAAATTATTTTCTTCTTTGTTCTGTTTCTTACAGATGCTGGTTTGGAAAAGAGCCAGGGAAATATATCGACTACATATATCAAGGGCCAGTGATTCTTGTTCTTCTGGTAAGAATGTATGTGGGTGGAAGGATACTTCCATCTCTCATTGAGGGATAATTTGAGAGGCATCTGTGATGTTCCACATCTCTACTTTTATGTAAAATAAAACACAAACAAGGTTAAACATCTTCAGCTGTTCTCTGAAGTTGCCACAGTAGCTAACACTGCAAGTCAGAATTGCAGTGATCTGTTTTTGGCTCATTCCTTGACCTTAGGCCATTCTTTCCTCTTCCCTCTGTAATGCTGTTTGCCTTCCTGTGTGCAATGTTTTGGGATGTGGGAAGGAAAAATGTTCAAAACCGGAAGGTACATTACAATATCAGCTCATCCACTTGAGGGTCTTGACAACTAGGGCAATTTCACCAAGCACATAGATTAGAAAAATGCAGTAATCATGGTAAGAAATTGTATCTCGTTGTACAGTTATCTACATATTCTTCATCCCCATCATTGCTGTGTGTTTGTTTGTTAGCTTTCCTGTTGTAAAGTTTCCTTTTCAGTGCCGCCTACAGTGAACAGGCTGTTTATCTGTTTACCCACCACTGTCCCCTGTGCCAACAAACAGTAGGCAAAGGAAGAAGGAAGCCCATTCATAAACCGTCTTGAACCTCAAACTAAAATGCAGTGATGCTTTCCCAGAAAATACTGGGTGTGGATGGAAAAGATCAATGCTATTAGAAAAAAATAAATGCTGAAAAACCTAATTCTACTCTTCCATTCCTTTGCCTTAAAAGCCACCTGGGAAGCAGACAGGTGTCCTAACAGAGAATTCACAGGGCTCAGTGGGATCACCCCTCTTAGGGACCCAAGCCTTGGTATAGCTGTCCCTTATGCCACTCCAACACCCATGGAGAAGCTGCAAATGCTCCAGAATAGGCAGCCCATCCCAGCTTTCTCAAGGCTAAGAAGCCTTGTGCTCTCACCTTGTCGGTGCTGTGCCTTTCATGTCATTCAGCATGAAAAAAACTTCTCTGTTGCCTAGGAAGCCATCTACTAATCTGAGTGGTTCCTAACCTTTAATTAGGAGAGTTAATTTCTGTGTTAATTGTTAAGATGCAGCAAACAGGTCATGTTGTGCGCCGTGGAAAAGAGAAAAAAAGGTAGGAGTCTGGTTTTATGTAAAAATTCTTTTCTTCGTGTTCTAAGGAGAGAAATACAACAGGTGTGATAGAGACAATACAATTGTGTGTCACCAAGGGATCCATCTCAAAAGCACAAACAGTCTCACAGTAACTTGACTCACTGATACAAAGACTAACTCACAAACAAACCCTGTTTAGACAACACAAGGTAGCGACTATGCAATACTCAGAATGTTTAGTTTTCTCCTCATTGCCTAGAAGTGTGTGAATCTACCGTAACTCCTTTAGTCAACAAGATTTGTAAAATTGTTGGACAGCATCTCTGGAAGACAGCATAGGTAGCTTAAAGTCATGAAAATAACTTTGTTCTCCCCAGAACAGCACTTTACCCAAGGACCCCAAAGAAGCACAGAAAATGGAGGTACGGTTGGAGGCAGCCTTTTTATATACAGGTCATTATATCTGCCTCTTATTTAGAGCAGCCTTGAGACCTCTTGTAACTGAGCCAATAACTACACTGCCCTGAACCGACATTGTGTATTGAACCTTTCTACACTGGTCTGCACTTGAGCTCTAATTGAAGCACTAATTAGATAACAGTAATTGCATGGGGCGGGGAGGGCGGGAGGAGATGATTTTGAGCAGTAACATAAGGGAAGCCCTTCCTTCCCTCTCCTTATGGTTACTCCCATCAGAAGGCACTGCTGGATGAGGAAGAGAGCACTCTGGGAATATAGTCTAGAAGGGAAATCTGAAAACTCCTGTTACAACACACTCCTGATTGCTGAAGTGTGCCCCACTTCCCTTTTTTTTAAACTGACAGTTGAGTCTTGTGTTCATAATTAAGATACACAGCTCCACAGTGTGTTAAAGCAACATGACAGGCTCTTTTTTTGATCCTTACGCGAATAAAATCAAATCGTATAAGTGACTCAAGCATCACTTATTATTATTGGAGTTACTGACCCTTGCGAGGGTGCCGTGAGAAATGCTGGACTAAGAGCCCTGAAGTTTGACATCTGCCACGTACTCAAGGCAACGCAGTCAAACATCACCCGCTCAGTGTTCTCAGCATGCCTCTGCCTTAACATAGATGGGGACAAAGTGCTGCTTTCCTCTCCCCTCCAGTGAGCAACGGTCGCCAGAAATGGAAGACACAAAGGTTTCAAGAATAGTACGACTCTGTGACCTCTTTCGGTCACAGCTAATGAGTTGGATTTGAACTAATGAAGAGTTGAAATGCTCAACTGAAGTTCACGCTTTGTGAGAGAACGTAGAGGATAATTCTGTGTACTGCTGGAAAGATATAAAGACATGAATGCTATTAGAAGAAATTAATGTTATTTCCAAAAGAGAGCTCACACTAAAAGCTAGATGTCTAAAAACTTCTTCAAATTACAGTTCCTGTCTGTGTGCAAGCACTCAGCTCATGGCAGTTAAAACTGGTTTCATCCACCTTAGTTAGTTAAGAGCCAAGTACATAGTGTACAGCTCAGCTGAGTTTTGGTTACCTGTTATACAGACGTCATTATTAAAAATGGTCATTATTAAAAATGGTCATTATCAAAAGCATCATTACGTGTTCTAGAGGCATCATTATACCAACCAGTGGCAATATGATTAGAGTGCTCTTGTTGGTAAATATTCCTTCCAGAGGGATAAAACCTGCTTCTAAAGATGCCAAGTCTCTTTAGAAGATAGAAAGATTTTGTCTGTCAAAAATGATTTCCACTGGTTTTGATTTCTTATTTCCTTGCTTGTCTGCATTGAACTGCTCTAGCATGATAGCGTAATGCCAAGAAACAGGTCATGCAGGAGTTCTGAATCTCACTGGGAAATGCAGATTGGCCGAAAATAGTAGCAGTCCTCAAGTCCATCTTTAAACCATATTATTCTTTGTTGTATCTCAGGATGCAAAAACTTTGAACAATGAGATAGAGAATTTGTTTGATTGCTTTCTTACTTGTCTTTAGAAGAAACTTGAACATTGAGTTGGGCTGAAAACAGGGAAACAATTTCAGAGACAATTTCGGAGGCAAAGGAAACTGGATATAAGTGCTGATCCTGAATATTGGGCGAGAAACCTGTATTTTTATTGACAAAAAAATACGAGGGAGAAAATGTAGCAAGTCATCCTTCTTTGTTTCATTCCTGAATGGATTTTGGCTTGAACATATCCCAGGAGAGATCTAACCATTCAGTACATTGGATGCTTTGAAATTCAGTTTCTGATAGCAGTAGAAAAATACACCATTAGGTATTTTCTTTTCAAATTAGTGGTTTTTTTAATCCTGTTATCTTTCCTCAGAGTGACATAACCAAGTTTTAATCATACATCCCTCTCTGGAGGTAAAGAAGCGGCAAAGATTTGGAAATACATGACAGCAAACTGAATTTCAGCCTGATTTTTTTATGAAAAATGCATTTCTTATGTGCAATTTTAAATGTAATCCCTGTCGAAGAATTGGCGAACCATGAAAACACAGCAAAATCAGAGGATGAGCCTCAGAAAATAAGCACCAGAGGCAGTTAACTGAGCTGCTTTTTTTCTCAGTAACTACTATTGTGAAGTGACCCCAGATACGAAGTGCTCTGCAATATCTCTCAGAGCTAAAGTTGTATTAAATTTTCAGTTTTTCAAAAAGGCAGATCAAATATTTAGGTTTTTGTCAAAGCTTACATTCAGCTTTAATAGATTTTTTTTCCCTTGTGCTTGAGAATTGAACAGTTTCCTAACCTCTGCTTTTTGGGTCTTGTTGAAAATAATTCACCACAATCAATTAGCTGCTGGTGTAAGTGGTTACAGGAGCTGATAGGAAGACCTGGAGATCACTTCTGCCTCTGCCTTCATTAGCTATTTACTTTTGAACAAGCTAGGTTGCTGCTCTAGGTCTCAGTTTCCCCAGCTATAAAGCAAGCTTAATGATACTTATCTTCCTTTGTAAAATGCTTTGAGATCCCTGGATGACAAGTGCTGTAGAAGAGTGAAGTGTCCTTAAGAAGATGGGCTCATCCTTATTGCAATCTCAGGAGACAGCTGGCATGTGTACTGAAGTGGTCTTTATGATGTGCTAATCAGTAATGATGGAGCATTTTTGTGGTGGCAAGATCAAAGTTTGATGTGACCACACAAATGGATTTTTATAGCAGTGTCTTATTCTTTTTTATTTTCTTTTTCATGCTCAGTATTTCCAAACTCTTTTTGTTTCCTTTCTCAAGTACCACTGGGAACCAAGGTGAAGATTTCAGGGAGCTAGCTATGTAATTCCAACATTTCTTTTGTGAAAGAAAATAGCCAGAGATCATAACTCTTCATGTAAAGTTAAGACTGCCTTACTTTCCTGTTGTATTACCTTTATATCATATGATTTCACGTGCCATGTTATTGCCTGGTCACTTGGTACTGTGAGTCTCTATACACGTCTTTGCAATCAGCTTTAATTTTTGCTATCCAAATTAGCTTAGTGTCACTAAAAATCCATCAGTCTGTTCTTCATTCCCTTTTATAGATCACTAAGGTCTATGTAAAACAGCACATCTACTGATAGCCTCTCTCCATAAGAAAACGGACTATGCATATAGATATCCTTTTTTTCTTGTATTTCTATACATAATGTCCTTCCCTCAAACCTATAGAAGCCAAATATCTATAGGAAATTTGAATTCCTTTCAGAAACCTGAGCAGACTGTCTGCTGGATCTCCCTTGTCCCCATGCTGACTCTTTCAGAGGACTTCACAAACCATGTAATTCTTCCCCTTTCCATCTTATTGCTACAAATGCTCTTCTTTACAGTACTTGCAAAGAATTTGCCCAGCTCCAGCTCAGCTTCAGGTTATGGAACATAGCAATGTCCTATATGAAGCAATCACTGGCTGATGTTCTGGAAGACCACGTCATACAGAGATTTTCAGGAAATATCAGG